TTTTTCCAAAGTGGAAGCATACTTCTAGATTTGGTAAAATACTACATGATTTTGGTAGTATTTTGGACTCATGGAAACTTTGTTTCTGATATGTCTCTCTGCTCCTGAAGGAAAAATGGAGCTGGAAGTAAAGCTAAGGCATCTCTTTCTGCTCAGAAATGTAACCAAGGGAAGGATTATCTTTGAGCTCTCAAGCATAAGAAACTCTTTAGCCCTGCAATGAATTTCTAAGTCTAAGGTATAAAGATCAGGGGGATGCCCAGGCCTTGCCATCCTTGTCTCACAGCTCTTTGCAGGGCTTGTGGGGGTCTCAAATAATAACTTAAAAGAATGGCTCTTTAAAGATGAACTGCCTGGGATAAACCAATCTCTTTCATAGGACTGCACAACATGACGCCTATGCAAAGCAGGATTTATCATGCTTTATTATGCAGTCTTTGCTACTCTAAATTAATGTCTCACTTGGGCTTTTTTGCATAATGGTGACATGAGCATGGCTTATACAAAAAGAAGCTTGTGTATACAAGCTCTATTTCTAATAATGATCATCTACAGTCAACCTAATATTTTCTTAATGTTGATAAATACATTCTTTCTATTCTATATTCCATTCCAGAAATGAAATTTCATATTGATGTGGCTCCTTTCAATCAATGAACTTATGAGTAATTTAAAAATGTTATTATAAAATTCCATCTAATTTCAAGTTATAAGCTGGAAATCTAGGTTTCACAAAGTAGCAGTAACAATCAGATACGGAAAAAAATACATCTGACAGGTGAACTTTTAAATTGCTCTTAATAAACTTTAAATTGCTCCTATTAAACAAAATGCCCTTCAAATAGTTGTGGATTTTAGCTACTAACAACCTAGACTGGTTTAAATAAGCAATCTAGAAACCATTGAACATTATCAATTTTACAAGACATTTTTTTCTTCAAACATTTTTTTTAAAGATAGTTTACTTAAACTTGACAGGATAACAAATCTCTAATCATTACAATAAAGATGCCTCAAATCTCAAAACTGTAATCTAGAAATAGACTTTAAAAAATACTTACAGTAAGAAAAGTGGTGATGTTATGGAGCCCTGTAAAATTAAATATTTTCCTTTAAAGAGAAGCATTATTAACTTTAGAAGAATTAATATTTATAAGCAAGAGAAAGCAGTGCACGAAGGATGTTTCTAGAAGAGTAAAAGCACAATATCCCAAAGACAGTGGTCCATTTGATTTTCTGTGCATCCCAATCCTTTTACTGTAACCACAAAAACAATTTAAAAGACCTTGCTTACTGTTCAAATTTTTAGTGAGACAAAATCATATCAACACTAGATGATTATCCTAGCTACCAGACAGCCAGGCATGAAAATTACAGTTTCACCTTAATCTCTCTGCTTGAAAACTCAGCCAGAGACCCAGGGTAGTGGGAGCTCTTCAAAGCCCCCCGTTACAGCAACAAGGCTGTGCAGTGTCTGTGGAAATGGAACAGGAGACTCAGACCCTGCTGTTTCCACTATCACTCTTTCTGTGCAAGACTGAAGGTCACCTAAGGTCACCAGGTGTGAGCTACTGCTGTTTTCCATTCCTGCACTCTTTAGTATAACAGAAAAATCTGGGGAGGGAGAGCTGAATCCTCATAAACTACTTTTGAGTGCATAATAGACCAAGTAACCTTGCACTCTGATTATAACCCTTATCTTTTAAGCTCTCCTCTCAGTGTTTTCGTAACTCTCAAGTATACAAGGGCACAGCTTTAGAAAGCTATTTTTTTTTCCTGGTAATTTTGATGGCCTGTGTGTTAATAATCATAAAAGTGAAGTTTTTTAGATCAGCTAAAATTTTAGTCGCCTAATTTTATTTTTAAGATCAAACTATTCTTTTGTTTGACAGCTATCACTAATAAATTAATTTTTAGAAAAATCACAGCTTACCTGAGAGCCTCGAGTTTTCTTCCCAGAGCTTCTCTAAGACCATGGCTTTCTCTGTAGTATCAATAAATTCCTTTGCAAGTTCTTCTATCTCTTCCATGAAGTCTAGATCAGGTCCAGTGGCTCTCTCTGGTCCACTTTGGGGGCTTGCACTATTTTTCGGCAGAAAAAAGAGAGACAAGTGAGGTAACACACTGAAATCAAGTAGCTGAAAAACGTGTATATACTCACAGCAGTATTCTGATTTTTTTTTTTTTTAAACAATGATGTATTTATACAATTTCCATTTAGTTCTATTCATTAGCATGCAAGTTGCAGCACTGGGTCTCAAAACCTCAGGAAAGCAGGCAATGAAAAATTTCTGAGGTCACCTATGCCAATTCTGGCACAAGCCAAGAACAGACACTTGCAAAAATTTTCTCCCCTGGATTATCACGTGTCCTGGTGGCAGTTCTTTGATGAGAAAGATACAATATGAAATCTGAACTAAGGTAACAGTTTGTTTTTTCAAATACATACAGCAGCGTATAAAACCAGTATTTTATCCTTACTACTGGATTTTTCCTGATTTTAGCCTGCAGGCATACCACTGGTAAGTGTTATGTCTTATCTCTATCACATTGCTATCCGGCAACTATCCAATAGCACAATTTTCTAACAACACTTTAAATAACACCAGAAGTCATCTACACACCTCTTTACAGGACAAAATTACTTAGACCCTCCTAAAACACCATAAACAAGGGAATAATTACATTTAGCATGTTAGTAGGCAGTTGAATTCTGTTTTATCTTATAGGAGATTCAAATTATCTTAAGAGGTACATCCTGTCTAGCAAAAACAATTCTACTTTGCATTAAAAACACAACTGTCACAGAATCAAAGAATGGGTCAAGTTGGAAGGGACCACAGTGGGGTCCAGCCTTCCTGCTCAAGCAGGCTCAACCTAGAGCTCATGGCACAGGATTGTATCCAGATGGTTCCTGAATATCTCCAGTGAGGCAGACTCCACAGCCTCTCTGGGCACCTGTTCCAGTGCTCAGTCTCCTGCAAAGTAAAGAAGTTTCTCCTCATATTCAGGTGCAACTTGGTGTGTATCAGTTCTGCCCATTGCCTCTTGTCCTATCCCACTTACGAAAATATCATAAAGAGTTACATTCCTTTCCCATCGAGTTTATATGCCAGTGCTTGCTTTCAGCACAATTTCTACTTATTGAAAGAAAAGCCTGATGAGATCAATTCACAAACAAAAGCAAGCCATCATCTATCACTTTCTCATTCTCTTAGTTCTCTTTCCCTCCCTCCCTAATCCTCATTTGTTCAGATACCCACAGAGCCGTTAGCAACTTTAAATTTTCTTTGTTTCCCTTAATCTAATCTTAAACAATCAAGTTCTTAATAGTTTCAGTATATCCTATTTTGATTCCAACTTGGCCCACAGACAGTAGGATTTTGGAAAACTCTCTCACCATCCTCTACCTTCAGTGGGCTAAAGGTGGAACAATTCCTCAACACAAATTTTTCCCTTTTAAATAGAGTTTTAAAAAGTAGGTTTCTGCTGTTTAGAAGGTGGCTTTTAGGGTGATTGGAAGTTGCACTTGAGCTGTTGTCTTTGAAAATTACCTCATTAATTCCAATATTACTGAAACTCTCTCTGCCCAAAATTTCAGACAGCTGAGAATACTCGTGTTTGGCAAAGAACTGAAACACTACTCGCATACTGAAATCTTCCTAGCACTCTGCTTTTTGAGCATGAACAAGAAGCCGGCACTTGACCAGAATAACAGCAGCCACTCAGAACTTTAAAAAAAAAAAAAAAAAGAACTCTAGCTCAGTTTTCATGGGATTTTTCACAGTTTTTGGTTGTCTTAGGGTTTTTTGTAGGGTTTAGAGGGAGTGATGGTGTTGGGTTTTTTAGGATTTTTTTCCAATACTTGCTGAACTTAAAATTGAAAACTAAACTCTCCTAGCAAGGTCACTTAGCAAGTACTTAGAGGACTGCAGTATTTCAACCTACATTGTTTGCCCTCCAAACTAGACTCAAGCCTTGTATCCCCATCTACAAACCTCCTGGTTTTAGGAACATTGCAAACAACAATGCTCTGGGGAGAAAAAGCCTTAGTCACATAGGAGCACACAGCAGGACTCAGTGCTGTCTCCAGGGTCTGCTGGGGCTGCCCGGCCTCCCTGCCAGCAGCAGGGGGCACAGATAGCAGCGAAAGAAAGAATCAGTAATTCCTTCCACTCTATCCCCATCACCAACTCTGCTGCACCTTGCATCTGCAAAGTTTCGGTTGAAAGACAGCAGGGAAACAACAAAAAACATCCTCTTGGTATCTAATTTTACGTGCTTTAGCCACTTGTTAAATGCTTAGCAGAAGCAGATTAGATGAATCGACAGCACACTCAGCTGGGCTATTCTTTCACTGCTCCCAGTCTGGAGGACTAGGGACAAAAGCTACTGCCCTGTGATGTCCCACAGAGTACACGGGGCTGGGGAAATGGGCCTGGGAAGATATGACGACTAAAAGCATTTAAGGAACGAGCAGACAGCACTTTGGAGCATAGTGGCTCTGAAGAGCCACAGGGTGAAGTGCAGGGAAAAAAATTTTGATAGCAAAAATTGAGAGAGTGCTGAGAAATTCTAGGGGAATGTAGATATTTAGGGTATGGCAAAAGGAGCAAATCCAAGGCATAAGGCTCAGCAATTACAGAACACAAGGCATGTGTGCAATCTGGAAGATCCATAGAAAGACCATTCTCCTAAGCCCAAGCCTCTCAGCAGTCCAAGAGCAGCTGTTTGGATGTGCTGGCTGTGAGCTATCAGCTCTGTGGGGATTTCCAGGTCAGCAGCCATGTCAGCTACCTGCCATTTGTGACCCTCTTTTGCCATCATTGCTACAGACCTGCCTCTCATTATTCTTGGATCTGAGTACAGACTCTTTTTGAAGGGGAAATGGCAGCAGGCATTATCAGGCTTCATTTTATGAAGCAGATTGAATTATTACAGAGATCATATTTGCTGAATATCTGTGCTAAGATTAAAGGATTTTATGTATTTTCAACACGGTAATAGAGGACCACATTTACCTCCTAATAAGAGTGCTACAAGTTACTACTGAGCTCTTAATTCAGCACAGGTTACAAAAAATTGCAGGAAGATATTACCATCTTGCCAGAAAGATAAGAAACTACACTTCAAAACCAGCTGCAGACAGTCAAGGCAAACAATTTTCAGACAGTGTGCCAACAAAAATACTTCAATATTGTACTGCTACTCTCCCAAAGCCTTCAATGTGTGCTTTCTGGAGCAGAAGGTGACATTAACTCACTTGTGTGTATGTGTAAAGGAAGTCCAGCAACCGTTTCAAGGAAATTCCTAGCAGCAGTTGCTAGGAACAGTAAAGAGGGGAAGCAAGGGATAATAAAAAGGACAAAAGGAGGAAGCCAGTAATTTGTAGGAGAGGACATATATAATTAGAATTGGGGTATTAGAAGAGATTGGGGAATGTATATATCTAAAATTTCATTATCGTCCATGGTAGCCCTCCCCTCAACTGTACATTTCCACAAAGTTCACGAGAACAGAAATCAAACTAAAGACATACATTGGTACAAGCTTTGACCATGACAAAATGCTGCAAAAGAGCAAGAAGACTGCATCTCTTCGAGCATGTAAAAGCAATTGTCATTTCCTAAAGCCATGACTCAGAAGCATTAATTCTGTCCAATTTACTCAGTTACTCAGGGTAACAATAAGAACATTTCAGAGTTCATCTGAGAACTCAGCTCTGATGTGAAATGCCATTTAGATTAGTGATTTTCATAAGCGTCTCAGCAAACTCATCTCAACCTCATCCCTGTCACCACGTTAATAATTTCTCTCTAAAATTGCAAAGCCCCAGCTGGCTTCCATTCTGCAACATATCAGGACAGCCTGCAGACATCAATACCAATACGCATGCTGGACAACAACATATTGTGTGTCTCTCACAGAAAGATTTCTCTCTTCCATGTTGATACAATTATAATTTTCCTAAAATGCAATGGAGTTAAATATATAAAGAACCAACAAAATAATTCTTCTTAATTGGCTCCAAAATGGAGAAAATAAATGCTTAAATTTCATTTTCTCCCCAGGTCTCTGGCAATCTATAAGAAAGATCACAAAAATTGCTTCTGTTTCCCAACTACATAGCCCAAGACTACAAAAGCTGGCCTAAACCACATGGAATTAATATTGTAGTAAGTTTCTGCAGCCATAACCTATCTTGAAGAACTATTTCTCATCTGAAGATATCCCTCATTCAACAAAAATCTGACCCTTTAAGCAATTCTTACACAAAGAATATTGCTGATGCTTAGACTTTCCTTGATTTTGTACTTCCACACCTGCTGTTGTACATGAGCTCTTCTGATGCTCCTCCACTGGAGAAGCACAGAGTCCCAGGTATGGATAAAACACAAGGTTTAGAACAGTAAGAAGAAAAAGGGTGGCATGAGCAGGGCTGCTCCAGGAGGGGGCAAACTAGGAGCTGAGACAACCCTGGCAGAGTCCATGCCCTCATTGTCCGCCAGGACCTCAGCCTGCAGGCAGACACAGGGGTGTGTCACAGGCTCCAGAGACAGCCCCAACAAGGCAGGGTGAGCCCAGGAGCACAGTCAGGTGCAAAAGGAGACAGAGCTACCACGTGGGTACGAGTGGTGCATCCAGCAGAAGTGCCAGAGACAGACCCGGGCTTCTATCACATCTCCTGGGTGAGGCTGCTCAGGCTGCCACCACTTGTAGCTAAAGAACGAGAAGCAAACTAATGTGCTTAGGAATAACATTTTAGAGTCTTGCTTTAATTATATTTGTGGTTCTAAGTCTGAGAATAGCTTAATTTTCTTTTAGGTATTGAGAAGTCTAACATAGATCTAGGAGTTGACTGCAAGGGGAAATCCCACCATGTTCTGCAAGATCTGCCAGGGAATGCAGAGTACTGGGAAATCATGATGCTTCCATGCACATGCATGGCAATGCGTGGGTGTAAGGCTATAGGACCCTGGGCTGTGTGTTTTTTTATCTTATTTGCACACTCTCAATTTTACACTGTGCTCCACTAAGATGAGGTGGAGAGTGGAACATTCTGGAAAGCAGGGAAAAATATCCTTTGCCATGGGAGCTCCTGAATACTTCCTTGTTCCTCTGCTCTGAGATATCAGTGGGTGTAACAGGCTAGGGAACCATATCAGCGAGATGCCAGCCAGCAGCTTTTGCAGTGGCTGAAAAGAGGAGCAAGGAGCAGAGCCAGAGAGCTCTTGCAAACTGGATGCTTCCCGAGGCATCAGAGGAGGTGTCAGATCTTGCTGCAATTCAAAGTTAATGAGGTTGTAGGCTTCACCGGGCTCATCTTCTCACCACATCACAGGCTGTTGCCTGAAGGGACAGGGACACATCTGTGAGGGCATGGCCTGCAGCAGGATAACTTCATCCTGAGCTCAGCCCCCCTCATGGTGGGGGCTGCTCACTGGTGAATAGTTATTGGCGGTTTATGGATTCCACAGAGGTTCCAACAGTAGTCATAGAACTACTTCCTCCCAAAGCCAACGACTACATTTCAAACTGATAGCACCAAAGTGGTACACACTGTGAAAGCAAATGTGAAAACAAATGGTCGAGAGTTCATGCAAACTATGCAGTCTGACTCACCCTTAATAAACACAATATTATTGACATTAAAAAACATGTACCTTTATCAGACTTATGGTTTGATCTAAATCCTTAAAGGGAAGATAATTAGTATTACTGCTCCTATGCCACCCCATCTCTCCAGTCAACAGGGACTGAATTCTGTTTTGTTTGACTGATCAAACTGACAGTCTGCACTCCTAAGGCTGTTGGCAGCCAGCATAAGTCAGAGCAGCCCTGAGGTTGACTTAATTTATACTGATGGACCTGGTGGAACAGGCTGACCTCAAAATGAACTTTATCCTACCTTTTTCGCCTTTTTTCCTTACCCAGGCTGTATGCTACTCAGTGTAGCCTATTTAATGTATAAATATGGATGTGTTTTATTTTTCAGGAGAAAAATTGAAAACCACTGAATAATTTCCCCTATTCTTAAGTAGGTCTAAGACTGCCTCCAGGAAATTCTTTCCTGATTTTTCTATTGAGCTGGAACATAATTTGGGCAGTTCAGTCAAAACAGTGTAAACAATCATGCAGACCAGTCAATATAGTTCATAGTTTCTAGAGATTTAACACATTTAGATGGCATCTGAACTAGTGATATAAATAAAAAACTATACTTTTAGGAAACAGGGTTTTTTAAAAGGCTAGTAACAGTAGTTAGTTAAAAGGCTAGTTACAGTAACTCTTTAAACCAGTAATATAGAATAGCTACTGCAAGTAAGAGGCTACAGACTTTGCACTGAGTCTGAAATACGACAGCACAGGGCCTTGCAACCTTTGATTTGCCTGAATTTGTCTAGTTTTCACTTTACTTTTTTTAATTTTCCTGGTCAGATAACTCTGGCAATGTTGTATTTTTACTTGTCATTATATAACACCATCATAGTTTTACACAGATAGAATTAGCAAGTGACTATTCAGTGCAGAACGAGATATTTATGATTAAGAAAGCAGTGCAGAAGAACACAGGCCCAGTAGAATAGCAGAGGCCTTGGGAGGTAGGGACAGAGATGAACTGTACTGGAGTATAATACTGGAGTGTCTGGGATGATAAGAGGTAGGGAACAGACTGGCATGAGGATCCCATGGCTATAAACAAGTCACCAGTGTTCAGTTAAAATTCAGAACTATAGCTGGACAAAGCCAATTTCTAAATATCAAGAAAAAAATAACAGGTAGCTAACATATGTAAAAAATGCTGTATACATTTAGGTGTACCACATAAATTTGAATGTATCTCAGAGATGCAGACCAATGGAAAAAAGCCAAAGTGTAAAAGCACACTAGCAAACATAAGTGACCCCAAGTGAAAAAGAAGCCCTCAACACCGCATTCCTCCGGGTAAAGGACTGTGGATCAATGACTTGCCATAACAACTCCATCTCCATCTATCTGCAGCTACTGACATGACCCAGAGCAACAGTGGAAAGGTGAGTATAACCCCAGGGAAAAGGAACTCAGTGGTCATGTAACAATCTTAATTATATTAGTAGTAAGAGGAGAAAGAGAATTTTAATAGTGGTATTTTTGTCTGTAAGTATCACGTGCAACAACACACCTTGACTAATAGTGGCTTAAATTGTTATGTGAGTCTAATTCTACAAACAAAGTCTCACTTTATGTAGCAAAATGTTTCCCATAACACTCTGCAAAATAAATCTTGTTTATGTTCAATCAACAGTTCTCTACATGCACAAGTAACTGCAACAGACCATCTAGATCAATAGATAATATTATGGCCTATTGCCATGGTACTGAAGCTTTCCAACTTGCTGTATGCAAAATTTATTGCTGCCTATAAACCTCTGCAATAATAAACCATAAATATTTAATGCTCTGACACACCTGGCTCAGGCCTCTAAGATCTTTTGGTAGATATTATCAATTTTCTAAGAATAAACATGCAGATATAGACATATATATTCTGATTAGCTCACCCTAATTTGACTTTATTGTTATATATTTTGCAAGGTTGTTTATGACACCCTTCAGCCAGTTTGCATAAGTGGCTTTGCATCGCAAGCACTTTTGGAGTAGATGAAATTAATTAATTTCTTAAAGAAAATTCCAAATTTAAATCTTTTTTTTTCTTTCTGCATTCTAGGATCCTGTGACAAGGACTTCTTATGGATAACTTCTTCCAAATTCTTTGTCAGTACAGAACTTCTGCTATTCCTTGTTGGCTCTTTGTGGGCCTTACATAAAAGTTATCCTTGTTTTGCTTTTCTGGGTTCACTTCTCCCACTGTGTATGCTCCCACACTATTCAAAGTTTAAATCCACATATAATGTTGGTGCTCAACTTCACTCTCATGTAATAAAAGGCTCTCTAGCAAAGGATAAAAGTATGTTCTCACATGGTAGCAGTGAAAGGCAAAGAATACAACAAGGTACCTCTACAATTTTACCCCCAAAGAGTATTCAGTATCCAAAACCAGCATGAAATGCAAACAAAAACTAGAAAGAGGTATGACCAAGGCCTTACATCTCTTGCAATCGTGAGAACACTGAAGAAAACTCAGCACAGAATAACAATGTTCCTATTTTCCCTGTCTACAAGGCAGTAAGAACCTTTGCTGTGTGACGCAGTGTGATGGAGGCAGCTCTGTCAAAGTCAGGTAACTCACCCAAAGCGGCCGTGCCTCTGTGCTGTGTAACTGGAGTTCCTGCATCTGGAACCAACATTACAGAAAAGGGTCCGCACAAAAGGATAAAGGCCCCGGCTTGGCAAATCACGAGCTTCTAAGTAACCTAAAACCAAGCAGAAGTAACATCAGGAACACTGCATTCACAAACTGTACCATCACATTGTGTTCCCTTATCCTAAAAGGCCTCTTTGTCACCTGCAAGCAATGAAGTTGTACCAGTCTCAGGTGTCTCATTTAAGATAAACTCAGTCATCACAGAAAATGAGTAACCTCTGTGTCAGATTGTGACAACAAGCTACATGTGACATTTGAGAGCAATCCTTGAAAAGCTGATTTTCCTGGTAGTAACATTACTGCACTACCATGTGGTTGCCAGCTTCTCTGCCCAAAATCATGTGACCCGGATTGGAATATAGAACTTCTGCACAAAGCAGTATTTCCTCTTTTCTCACAGGCTTTTGAAAAATGAAGGAACTGGTATTCAGCAGTGTCTGAACATGCATCAATCAAGACTGTTTAAACAACACTTTTCCATATCTCTGGAATTATCCATATCTTTCCATAAAGGAAATGTATGTAGTGCAGGCTAGATTCTTCCCATATATTTCACTCTACAGATCTGGAATTGTTTTACCAAACTGAGTTTTAATGTAGCTAAAGCTGGTTTGTCCCCATTTTACTGCCATTGGTGAATAACAGAATAATAAACGGAATAGATTATAATATCATAAATAATTCTTTTCCAAATTAATCATATTTTGACAAGATAAAAGCAAAAATAGCTTTATAAGGTGGAGGACATCATAACAAGTTTTGAAGCGTTAAAGGAAATAGAATTTAATAAAATATTAATTCTCAATCCCAGGAAGTGGGTATGGGTAAGCTTCATCTTGTCTAATTTTAAATATCCACCTCTGAAGCAGTCATCTAAACTCCATTACTCAATAGAAAGAAATAAATACAACTAAAACCCAATTTATCTCCCTTACTCCAAAGCTGATGTTTAAAATATCTCTTTCTCATGTAAATAGAGCTTCCTCAGATCAGTAGCTGATGAATTCCACTGTAGGACTCTTTCCATTGACTCCACTACATTTAAGTTCCCCCCTTCTAGGATGTCCTTAGTATTTGCTAAATACTTCTATTGGCAGAGGCAAACAAATAGAACACAGGTGAAACAAAACATACAGTTTTCCTTGTATTTTGGGGGCTCCTGGAAGCGGATGGCAGCTAGAATCAAAAAAAGTACACATGGCCACAGTATTTCAGTGAGAGAGAGGACCTGAAAAAGAAAATCAGAACATCAGTCTAGAGAACATAAGCTTTGGGAACAAAACATTAAAATTCATGTCTTTTAATTTAAAATAAAAACATTAAATATCCTCTCTACAACGATTTAAGGTAAAATAAGGTCATTAAAGCAAGCTAACAACTGACGCTTCTACTTGAAATCCTTGTAACTTTGTGAAATACACTTCTTTCAGAACAGAAAAGTAATTTTCATTTCAATTTATAGTGTTTGTAGATACTTTCCTCAGGTCAAGACAGAGACTCTGGCAAGGTGATGACAGCGACCTTCAACTTTCCCGTACCTGACTGTCCTAAGAAGCCAGCAGCATTCTGCACCTTGGTGCAATTCTTCATGCTCCCCTGACCCTTTCCTGGTGGCATACCTCCTCGTCCTTCCCTGGCTCCCTGGCTGCTGCCATTACACCCTTTCTGTCACCTGCACTCTAATGCTCTCCAAAGCCCCTTTGGTCATCTCCAGGAGGAAAGACCAAGTGAGACCAAGGTAACAGGCCTGAGGCTGCCCACAGCCACACATCTCATATCCCAGTGTTCCATTTCCAGGGCCACAATTACAAGGTACACAAGCCAATGTGCTGCAGGACTCAGATTTTGAGTCTATCTTCTCTGAGCAGACTGCACATACACAGTGCACGTTCATGGATCTGCAGAGAGGGCACAAGCTCCCAAATGGATTGGAAGGAAGAAAAAAACACAAAGAAAAGCAATTGTCTCCGTTTTTATCAGCAGAAAGGAAGAAACTGACATTGAGACAAGTTTCAAAAGACTTCTCAATTGACTGATAACAGCATTAGGAAAGTGTGAATAGGGGACTCGGTAACAGAAACACAGTAGAAATGACAGCCACACTGAAGATCTCTCATTAGAGGCTGTTAACGTCTCTGGAGCATACTGGGGATTTTATTTCTAAACTGTGAGAGTTGAACCAAATCCCATTACATAAGTGATTCCTAAACTTGAGCATGTTAGAAAAATGCCTAAGAACCATAACATAATGCTTAAGAACAAAATCCAGTGTCAGAGTCTTCCCTGCAGAGAAGGTCATCTGTGCTGAACACGAGACAAGCAACAAAAGGTTTCCTGAAATTTAGGGAAATTGCCATTTATCTAAACTGATCACACTCAAAACAATACAGGAGCCAACTTAATAAAAGTTGGGGATGATGCTTTCAATCTTCTAGGGATCAGCAAGGGCTGGCTGCTCCCCAGGGTGCAGGGATCTGTGCGTAACAGTGCCACTCAGCAGGGCAGGGGACCCATCCCAGGGACCCCAGAAGGGAAGCAGGGCAAACCCTGCTATCACAGCCAGCCTCAACCAGGAGTCCAGACCCTCACTCAATGTCACAGCAGGTCAAGCCAAACAATGGCCAAGCACATGGCACTCATGACACTTTGCTAGTTCAACAGCCCTCACTTGTCTTCCAGCCCTAACTGCTGATAAATAACCATGGGGAGAAAATTGTCTTATGTAGACAGAGCTACATGATATGGAACAGAGCTGATGCACATCAGGTCTTTCAGGAGGTGCTTCTCTCTTCAGATTCACAAGGGTCTGACCACCTCTGCATAGGTGGACGATCCACCTGGATTTCTCCTCCAGGAACTGCAGATGGAGCTCCTTCACAGCTCAGTGTTTGCACAGCAGCACACAAGGAGTGCTGTTCCCCAGGGCAGCTTCTGCCTCTGAACAGACAGAATGAAGTTTGCTTTGGATCACCCTTGTAATTCCTGGCTTGGAGAAGTCTGCATCTCAGTGAGTTCTCTATTCAGGAAATATACCAAATAGACAAGCTTAAAACTTCATGAATTAAGATTTTTTCCCTTCAGAAATATATGAGGGAACACTACACAGAACAAGAGGAGAAATAGATCCACATGCAGGAAAACAGGAGATACAGGAAACGCGCTTAATGCATAGCAATTGAACATACAGAACTGTTCAGGCATGGAGAAGAATATGACCAACAGCATCCTTCCCCCAAAAGTATATTTTATATCAGAAAACATCACTTTCATTAATTTGGGGAATAAATTCCTCTCTAAATCACAATTTTATTGAGGCTAAATATTTCTGAAACTGAAAGCCGTGTTTATTTAATTGAAATAATCCTATCCAAAGCAGCCAACATGCTTCACTGCAAATCCCCAGATCATTACAGACAAGTGAAATCAGTGTGAAACTATTAACTGAAGTGACCTTTTTTTTCCACAAAAATGTTCTCTCACTTGAGAAAATTCACTTCCTTCTATCCTAAAAAATCTTTTCAATCATAGTAAAGGTGAAAGACATCTCATATCTAATTTTCATCATTTTAATTTTGACTTCTGTTGAAGTAGCTGCCACATTATTTTGCATATTGGAATTTGAAAGGTTAAATTAGGCTTTGGAGAGCAGATAAGGAAGAAAATGTAGAAGTTTATACAATTGTAATACACAACACATTCCCTCTATCTAGACTTTGATCACAGTCATGCAAGCTTTCTTGCATTACCTATAAGCACCTGTAATGTGAAGAAAATTGATTTTCTCCCTTGTCACTGCTTACCAGTACTGCTGTTATCTAACGTTAATTAAAAGATAAGAACTGGTTCTTCAAAACTTTTATGAGATTTGTTTCATTTGCAAATTGGGGACCATTGCTATATTCAGCCATTTTAGAATTAAAATTACATGTTGTTCACTACTTGTGTTTTTTAACAATTAGGTGAGAAAAGGCAAAGAAAGAACCAGTTGCAGACAGTCCATCCTTAACAATCTGCAGTGAAAAGGGAAAATCGATAGATACACTCTTTCCAACAGATACCAAAAAATTTTAAATATTCCTTTTTTAATCATTTCCAAACACTCACCGGTTGTCTCACACGACACAGCCAATTTTTCCAAAGCAGAGCCTTGAATTGGTGTACAGCGTGCCCCATAGCTTCTTTTCTTTCCTTCATCCACTTGCAGAGTGGCTTCTTAGGGACTTTCTAACTCAGAATCATCTCACCAAGCACTCCAAACATATTATTCAGCAGCTGATGAATTCCAGCACTAGTGAATAGTGCAGGAGATTTGCCTGTTTCCTGAGAAAAGATGAGATAATATTTCTGCCTCTTGTTTTGCTTTCGTTGAGGAATCTCATCTTTCTGTTTTTCTTCTCAGTGCAATGAACAGTAAGGGGATGGGTTTATAGAAATGCCTCCAGGCTGCTTTCCTCCACAGCATACATTCTGCACTTGTTTCTACTTTTCTGGAATAAAAATAAATGCAAAAATTGCCAGCGATGGGGAGGAAGAATATAAAGCACACATTCATATTTCCCAAAGTTTTGTGACTTTTTGTCACTTTAATGTTTCTGTCTGTTTGTTTGCAGATGTTTATATTTTGGGAAGAAAAAACAAACAAAAACCAAAAACAAAACAAACAAATAAACAAACAAACAAAAACACACCAAAAAACCCCAAAACATTAAAAACAAAAAAAACCAACAACAACAAAAAAAACAAAACAAAACAAAACAAAACAAAACAAACAAACAAAAAAAAAACACAACCAAAAAACCCAGTAGGAAAATAAATAGGAAAATAACACTGTTTCACCACATAGCCCTAAAAATGTCAGTATGTTTCTAGAGTATCCTCATAAGCACATATGTAGCTGTAGCAGTCCCAATGCATCATCACATGACTGTTGGATTTTCTCTTGTTGAGGGTGTATATTTGAGATTTTGTTCTCCTTTACCTACATAGAGGGGGAATATTCCAACAATGAAAAACTCTTTTAATTAATTGCTACATGCCACCTGGGATGAAAGTCAGTCTTAGAGCAGCAGTTCCTTCAGCAAAGAGGTGGGGGAGCAATTCCTCCTGCAGAAGGGGAGCATGTGCAGACCTGTGGTAGCAGAGCCAGTGGGAGACCCAGCAGGAATCTGGTGGTGCAGAGGATGACCACCCTACCCACCAGGAATGACACTGTGAGCAGAGGAGTAAACTTTCTGGTTTTTTGTTCCACAGAAATGAATTGCCTGAGAATCCGAGCCTCAAAAGCCCTCTCTATGGTCGAGTCACATAATACAGTCATTGTATAAGGCAATTCAAACCACCTAGAATCTGAGTCATAATTCACACACACACACACACACACACATAAGACAGCATGATGTCTGAACAAATATTCTTTATTTCCTATTATTGCTGAATAAATTGCATCATTGCACTTTCTACAACAGTATTCCTATTGAATGAAAGACACATCCTAACATTCACAGCTATTTTTCCCCATTAAGACTAAAAGCCCCCAAAAGATAAAACTTCTCAGATACAGAAGTCATCAAAGAGGAATCCAACTTCCATTAGATTTAATCCAAGATATCAATTTTAAAAGTTAATAAATCTGCTACTTCTGCAATGAACATCTGCCCATCTGCAGGTCTAATTACTTGTGCCAGTTTTTATGGGATGAGGATCAGCTAGTGTTGAGTGCCTTAGCTTCCCTTTCCCAGGCTTTGGATTTGGGCCACCCAGCAGCAGCTTTGGGCCCTTTAGAGCACATTGTAAACTTAGTTACTCCACTACCTGGGAAACTGACTGATTAGTCTGTTAAAATGTCTGTATTTGAAACGGTGCAAATTTCTCTTTCAATTTTTACCTTTTCCATGGTTCAAGGAATAGGAAAAAAAAAAAAAGAAAAAAAAACAGACTAAGTAGGTTTCATGAATTCGTCAGTTTTACATACTGGTCAAAATCCTCCCAAAAAGCAGAAATCACAGATGACGTCATGGCAGAATACAACTAGCTAAACACCTTAATTTCTCAGATATGGTGGGATTTCCTTTTATGTTCTCTGAGACTGAAAAACTGCGGAAGTGATCATTTAGTTAAAACAGAAATGTGAAAGTCCTCAGGACATAATAAAGAACTAAATAGCTTAATGTTTACCTGAATGACCTTAAGCACATACATGCCTTTGAGTCAGGAATAACTAATACCTTACCAAGGAGCTCCACTTCACACTTGGATGGCACTTCTGAAGTCAAGAAGTGCTAAAATCCCTGCTGTTTCAGAGTGTGGATGGTAATTTTCCTCACTAGGATCAAAGGTGACATTCTGAGACAGCAGTGATGCAGGTTCTGTGCACAGCAGAAGTATGCATTTTTAAACAAATAGTTTTCAGAAACTGAAATTGAAATACTGTTAATTGTTAATATGTGTGGGATCACACAGCCATTCTGGAAATCCAGGGAGCAGAATCTATAGAATGTGATTTATAGGAAATTATAAATTACTCAGCATAATGAATTACAAGCAGCTACTTATCAAAGCAACTGATATGGAAGACAGTTCCTGTCTGTAAGCATGTGAGCTAAAGCAGCTCGCATGAACCATTTGCCAAATTATTTTGAACAAGTACTTTCTGCAAAATCTCTGCTCATCCAACTGTGATGTGTTAATTTATTATGCTCTATATAATTATATTCTCATAAATGTGGCATTCTATTTTCATGGTAACAGGAACCAACTATTTTGTATGCAATTAGTGTGCAGTACTAATGAACTATTCACTCCCCACTTTACTATATAAGACACTCAATAGACAAACACCTTTCACAATTAAGTAATGTTGACTTCATTTGTCTCTTACTTCATTAGAGAAGTCTCTCACTTCCTATAGAAATTCATTCTTGTGTAGTTTGGTGTCTTCCAGTAGCAGACCTGTTTTTCTAGAATGAAATTTAGGAAAGTAAAATATATCCCTTGAACATTCCACCGAAAACAATTGCTGCAGTGACATTCTGGGAAATGATTTCTAAAAGTAATTTCAGAAGACACAGATTGTATGGGCTCGATTTTATTATTTTGAATGTCACAGAAATATGAGAATTATTAAATCAAACCATCAACCCCCTACCCCAAACCAAACCCCTGGAATAGAAGATATAATAATATTAAAATGAAGCCCAGAAGCAGAAAAAGCAAAGGAGCTATATTGCTGCCATGCTGGAAGCTCTTTTGAATCCCTAGGTTCCTCTAGGGAAATCCCTAGGACAGCATCAAGCAGTACCCTGTGCAAGTACCAGCCTTAAATATCTATATTAACTCTATAATTATTTCACTATAAACAACAGGTAATAACTATATTAACTAAATGCTTTCAGGGCTCCTTGACCAAGTGGCTGTAGTCAGCAGCAACATCTTGAGTACTGCAGGGCAAATCAGAATGGATTTGTTTGCTGAAATACCATGGATTTCATCATATGCTCCACTCACTCCTTCTGGAATGGAAAAAAAAACAGGCTCAGAATTGGGTCTTTGAGTAAGGACAAGAAAGAGTGACCTGCCCTTTTTTGCTTCTACTTAGCTTTAGCAGGCTTTGCCTTAGTTTTAACTTAAAACTTTTCTTTTATAATATACAAGTTACCCAAAATCACCAGGGCTGAAAAGGCAGAAAACCTCCTGCCAGCATCCAGCTCTGGTTTTAAAACTTGGCTGCTTTATAATATCATACCATCAACACGCCACGTCTAGCCTACAGTTTTAATACAATGTAATTAGAGTAGGCTGGCAAGCACTTTCAAAGAATCATACTTTTATATGTTAAACAGGTTAAAGCCCGGGAGCCAACAATACTGTTTGGTATAGACAGGAATGCAGTCAAATCATGTGAAAGTATGGCTGGGAATCTGGCAAACTAACCTATTTTCCTATCACCACCCACCACTTCTTTCACAAGGTTTATTAAGTGATCACAAGGCTTTCCTTTTAACATTAATAGGCGTAGTACTTGTAAATATTTACATGGGCCAGACCTGTATTCAGACAAAGTGCCTGCAGGATAACATCAATTAGTAGCATCTTTCCTGGGAGACGCTTCGTGTGTGCAAAGTTAGGGCCTGATGAAAAATGTTAGTTGTGGGCAAGGTCAAATAATGGAGCTGATTAAAATGGAGCTATGTGTTAAACCAGCAAAACACACACAATCTCCCAAGGAGGCTGGTAGTTTGTTTGAGCTTCTGGGGAGCTCCAGGAAGTTTACTCTCATAAAATGACAGACTGATAGGAAATTAAATATTTTCTCACAGCTACAAGCTCAGCACCCACAAGAAGTGTCTGGAACCAGGCTCATGTGTCATGTAAAACCAGCTCTTGTCTGTCTTTTGCTGCTGCTTCACTTTGTTTGTAGCCCAAGCAAAAGCACTGTACCTGTCAGCATTACTCTTTCTTCTATTAGTGTACCACAGAGTTTTAGATCTAATACTGCTCTGTTCAGCGACCTCCTTTCTCTTCAGCAGAAGACTTTCTGGATTTGTAATTTAATCCGTACTCTGGAGTATAATATTAAACGGTAATTATTTTAGAAAGATAAAATATGACTTTTAGTCACTCAAAGAATGATAAACTTTCAGGGAAAGAAACATCAACAACTTGTAGAAAACCATAATAGTGACATCAAATCACACTACTGTGCCTTCTTGTATTCAGTTGTAGCACGCAGATCCAATCCCCAAAGCCCAGTTTGCTGCTTTATTTTTCTTTCACCTGTCTTGTCAAAGGAAATTAAAAACATCTCTGATTCAACCATATAAGCATTTTATTTAGGAGTATATATTGAGATCCCTCTCAAAAAATCCAGCTCTGTTACACAATGCATTGAAAATCCTTTATGAAGAAGAATGTTAAAAATACATGTTGCTTATTACTGTATATATTTTCAAGAAATACTGAAATTATCAAATTATTTCCCTTGTTTTTTAAAGGACATTTTAAAAACATTTGTTGTCTAATGTCCTGGTTTAATTTAATTTCTCAAAAAAATGTCTTGATTTAGGTTTGATTTCCCGGCCAACACACCAAATGATGTCATGGTTTTGATTTGCCAATTTAAATATACTCATTTTCTGTTGTGAAACAGAACCAGGAGCAGAAGCAAGGCAGGCCTA